ACACACACACACAAACACACGCAAGCACACCCAAACTCACGCAAACACACGCAAGCACACGCAACCACACACAAACACAAACACACACAAAACACACACAATTACGCAAACACACATCAACACACGAATGCATACAGAAACACACACACAAACACAATTAACCATACACACATACACACAACCACACACACAAACACACATCAGCACACAAACACACACAAACCAACACACAAACAAACACAAACACACATCCAAAGACACGAACACACACAAACACACACACAAACTCACACACAAACACACACAACCACACACATAAACACACACAACACACAACCACACACACACACAAACACACAAACACACAACCACACACACAAACACACACACACACAAACACACACAAACACACACACAACACACACACAACACACAACAAACACACGCAAACACACACACACACACATACAATCGCACACAAACAAACACAAACACACACAAACACACACAAACACACATAAACACACACAAACACACACACAAACACACACCAACAGACGCGAACATACGCACAACCACACATAAGCACACACAGACACACACACACAAACCCACACAAACACACACACACACAAACACACACACACACACACACACGCACAAGCGCACACACAAACACACACACACACACGAACACACACACAAACGCACACAAACACAAACACACACACACAAACACACAAACACACAATCGCACACACATGCCCACAGAGGGGGTCTGAGAGGGCGTCCACCAGGGTCCGACAACCCGCACCCATACCCATAGCCAGTCCTCCTCCCAACAACCGCCCTATTAGAAGTATGGGTGTGTGTGTGTGTGTGTGCGCGCGCGTGCGTGCGTGCGCGCGTGCGTGCGTGCGTGCGTGCGTGTGTGTGTGTGTGTGTGTGTGTGTGTGTGTGTGTGTGTGTGTGTGTGTGTGTGTGTGTGTGTGTGTGTGTGTGTGTGTGTGTGTGTGTGTGTGTGTGTGTGTGTGTGTGTGTGTGTGTGTGTGTGTGTGTGTGTGTGTGTGTGTGTGTGTGTGTGTGTGTGTGTGTGTGTGTGTGTGTGCGTGTGCGTGCGCGTGCGCGTGCGCGTGCGCGTGCGCGTGCGCGTGCGTGTGCGTGTGCGTGTGTGTGTGCGTGTGTGCGTGTGCGTGTGTGGCGTGTGTGCGTGTGCGTGTGTGCGTGTGTGTGTGTGTGTGTGTGTGTGTGTGTGTGTGTGTGTGTGTGTGTGTGTGTGTGTGTGTGTGTGTGTGTGTGTGTGTGTGTGTGTGTGTGTGTGTGTGTGTGTGTGTGGTGTGTGTGTGTGTGTGTGTGTGTGTGTGTGTGTGTGTGTGTGTGTGTGTGTGTGTGTGTGTGTGTGTGTGTGTGTGTGTGTGTGTGTGTGTGTGTGTGTGTGTGTGTGTGTGTGTGTGTGTGTGTGTGTGTGTGTGTGTGTGTGTGTGTGTGTGTGTGTGTGTGTGTGTGTGTGTGTGTGGGGGGGGGTTGTTCGCTCGTCATCTCGAGGGGTCACGTCGTGAACACGATCGCGACGTCGGAGGTCTCGGGCCCGCGCTCGTCGCGGGCGAGAGCTTTGTCCATACCCATGCTCTTGCGGTCTGGCAAGCGAGGCGCGACCCCGTGGACACGCGACTCCATGTCCACGCTCCGCGCGGGGGGCATCCGCGGAGAGCCGCCCCCGCATCCGCAGCGTCGCGGCCCGAGGAGTCGGGAGCGCGAGACCGCGGATAGGGAAGCTTCCCACCTTCCCACCTGCAGGGACCGGCCATCGCTCGGACGTCGATTCCCTGTGTTTTTCCCAACCATCCTGTGGTGTTGGGTCCTCGTTTTGAAGAGACGGTGCCCCGCGTTCTCCTTCCTTCCTCCCGCTGCCTCCTCCCCCCGCCCATCATCATCATCATCATCATCATCATCATTCATCATCATCATCATCATCATCACATCATCATCATCATCATCATCATCATCATCATCATCATCATCATCATCAACACCCATTTCGGCACACCCCTCACACGTTTCGTGGCTCCATAGGGAGCTCCACCGAAGGCCCCAGTGCCCGCGGCCGCATGCGTCCCCCACACCCATTTCGGCACACCCCTCACACGTTTCGTGGCTCCATAGGGAGCTCCACCGAAGGCCCCAGTGCCCGCGGCCGCATGCGTCCCCCACACCCATTTCGGCACACCCCTCACACGTTTCGTGGCTCCATAGGGAGCTCCACCGAAGGCCCCAGTGCCCGCGGCCGCATGCGTCCCCCACACCCATTTCGGCACACCCCTCACACGTTTCGTGGCTCCATAGGGAGCTCCACCGAAGGCCCCAGTGCCCGCGGCCGCATGCGTCCCCCACACCCATTTCGGCACACCCCTCACACGTTTCGTGGCTCCATAGGGAGCTCCACCGAAGGCCCCAGTGCCCGCGGCCGCATGCGTCCCCCACACCCATTTCGGCACACCCCTCACACGTTTCGTGGCTCCATAGGGAGCTCCACCGAAGGCCCCAGTGCCCGCGGCCGCATGCGTCCCCCACACCCATTTCGGCACACCCCTCACACGTTTCGTGGCTCCATAGGGAGCTCCACCGAAGGCCCCAGTGCCCGCGGCCGCATGCGTCCCCCACACCCATTTCGGCACACCCCTCACACGTTTCGTGGCTCCATAGGGAGCTCCACCGAAGGCCCCAGTGCCCGCGGCCGCATGCGTCCCCCACACCCATTTCGGCACACCCCTCACACGTTTCGTGGCTCCATAGGGAGCTCCACCGAAGGCCCCAGTGCCCGCGGCCGCATGCGTCCCCCACACCCATTTCGGCACACCCCTCACACGTTTCGTGGCTCCATAGGGAGCTCCACCGAAGGCCCCAGTGCCCGCGGCCGCATGCGTCCCCCACACCCATTTCGGCACACCCCTCACACGTTTCGTGGCTCCATAGGGAGCTCCACCGAAGGCCCCAGTGCCCGCGGCCGCATGCGTCCCCCACACCCATTTCGGCACACCCCTCACACGTTTCGTGGCTCCATAGGGAGCTCCACCGAAGGCCCCAGTGCCCGCGGCCGCATGCGTCCCCCACACCCATTTCGGCACACCCCTCACACGTTTCGTGGCTCCATAGGGAGCTCCACCGAAGGCCCCAGTGCCCGCGGCCGCATGCGTCCCCCACACCCATTTCGGCACACCCCTCACACGTTTCGTAGCTCCATAGGGAGCTCCACCGAAGGCCCCAGTGCCCGCGGCCGCATGCGTCACCCACACCCATTTCGGCACACCCCTCACACGTTTCGTGGCTCCATAGGGAGCTCCACCGAAGGCCTCAGTGCCGCCGCCCGCATGCGTCACCCCCACCCATGTCGGCACCCCCCCCGCATTTCTCGCACGGCAGGGTCATCACCACGGTGGCGTGCCAGGGGCGCACCATGCGCGAAGGCGACGGGGCGGGGGAACGGCGCTCCGGGGGCGGCCAGACCTCCGGGGCGCGAGCAGTCCGCGGCCAGACCATCTCTCGGTCCTGTGGACTCTCGCCCTGGGCCGTCGGCTGCCCGGCGCGCTGCTCCCTCGGTCGACGTCGCCCAGGCGTGATCCTGGATTGCGGCCGCCACGAGGTAGGGAACGGCAAGAAGGAGGACGACGACTGGTGGCTGGAGCTCTACGTGCTGCTCTCGCGCGCCACGCGCCACGAGGACCTCCTGCTCATGCGGGCGCCGCGCATCGAGTTCTTCCTGGCAGGGCCGCCGCAGGGCTTGCGGAAGCAGCTGGAGCAGTTTGCGGCGCGCACGAAGCGGTGCAGGAGGGAAGCGACGGCCCTCGCCAGGGAGCTCGGCTTCACCGAGTTCATCCGCGAGGCCTGACCTGAGGAGCGTCTCCCCCGAGCCGCGCCTTCTCTCGACTGCCCGACTAATTGTTTGGCCTCGCGCCGCGGACGACCCGCGCGCGTCGCTGGGACCCTCTCGGGGCGACCAGCGCGCGTCGCGGGAACTCCGTGCTGCGGGGGGCCCGGCGCCTCGTTCGCCCGTCGTCGCTCTGCCCAGCGGTCAGAGACTTGCCCGCTATCAGCCAGCCAGTTAGCTAGTCAGCTCTCTCTGCTTCGCGCAGCGGACGACCCGCGCGCGTCGCTGGGACCCCGCCCGGGGCGACCAGCGCGCGTCGCGGGGACTCCGCGCTGCGCTGCGCCCGCAGCCTTGGATTTTGGAGTGCGCGGGCAAAGAGGAAGGAAAAGAAGAGCCGAAAGCGGGCGCGATCCTCGCAAGAGGCGTGCCGACATGGGCGTCGCGACGTGCGGACGCTGCCGTCGGGGTTCCCGCGGAAGCTGCCTGCGGCGGCCACGCCCAGTGTCACGTGTGTTCGGACAGGCATGCTCGACACTTACACTAGGCGGTTCCATGATCGCATTCATGCAAATATATTCACTCGCGCGCAGACCCATTCATACTCAGATTCCCTCGCGCTCTGACTCACCCGCGTTCTTTCTCTCGTAATCAGATCTATCGTATTCCTTTGCGTTGTGTACCCCGCCACATTTCGGCACACCCCTCATGCGGTTCGTGGCCCCATAGGGAGCGCCACCGAAGAAGATACTCACAATTGCGATACTCACAACTGCATATGGTTGGGTCCTTCGCCCGGATATTTTTTCGGTTTCGTGCGCAGTTTCTTCGCCAGATTATCAAGGATTCTCCCCGATGGTCCTCGCCGAAGGAAGAATGCACACGTCCGAGCGACGCCAAGGGGAAGGAGGAGCAGGAGGCAGGAGAGTGATCGAGGACCGAGGACCCGGGTGCGCACGCTGGTTCTTTCCTTCTTGGGCTGCCAGGTCCAGGAGGCGTCTCGTCGCCGCGGCTTGCTTCCCTTCAACGTCCTGGTCGAAACGCACCCCTGGAGAGGTCCAGCGGCCGATTTTCGATTTTCCAGGGTAGAGGGGAGGGAGGATCTGGCTGATAAGCGTCCCGTGCTCTCAGACAGTCGTCAACAGACGCCCACTCGCTGGCAGTCCACGCCGCTCGGTACCTGCAGCTCGTCGACGCAGTTGTGGTGGTACGGCGTCGAGCAGAACATGGGCCTGTTCTCCTCCTCCCACTCTGGCACGTGGCGCAGCCGGTGCCGGAAGAAGGAGTAGCCATACCACGACGAGAGATTGACGTGCGCGTCCTCCATTGCGGGGAAAAGCCTGCCCTGGATGGGCACCTGCCACACCTTCTCGGGGTCCCAGGCCTCCAGCCTGCGATTGAGCTCGATCAGGAGATAATTTGCCTCGTTCGCCTGGAGCAGCCACGAGTTGTTGTTGGTGTGCTTTCTCAAGAAGTGCCCGTCGCGCTCGACGCGGTACTGGACCTCCGCCTCCAGTCGGTCGAAATCCTCGTCGTAGATATGAAGGTCCACGTCGGAGTCCCACAGCATCAGCGAGCCGAACTTGAGCGATCCCAAGAGCGCCCCATCGGTCACGATGTAGCGGACGCCCAGCTCTCGGAACACGTCGTCGATATAGAAGAGCAGGTGCCGCATCGTCTCCCTGCAGCAGGGAGGGGCCGCCCAGCCGCGGTACACCCAGTCCGGCACAGGGCAGTTGGGGCCATCGAGCCCGCAGCCGAAGTGGCGGGTGACTCCCTCGGGACCGGTGAACTCGCGCAGGTGGTGAATATTCATGAACCTCCGGTGCGGAGAAGCGGGGGGCCACGGAGAGGGAGGTCACAAAAACATGGCCGAGGCGAAGAAGCCCCAAGCAGCACACCGCGAGGACCGCTGCGCTCCGGACCCAGACCCCGGGACTGGGTGGGACCCGACCCAGACCCCGAAATCAAGTACATATGTTTGGATCACGTCGACCCCAGAGGTCTGGACCCCTTCCCCAGCACCAGCTTCTCAACCTGAGTCGTTGTTTGACGGCCTGAGGCCTAACGAGGGCCCCCAGAGGAGGACAATTGCAAACAAACCCTTCCGTCGTGTTATTTTCATGCTATGACTCGAGGGGGTCTGGGGAGAAGCCCCTTCTTGGATGCCCCCGAGAACAGCTGCGCCTGGTCCAGCGGCTCAGCCTCGCCGCCGCCCAGCACCGGCCCCAGCGACGCCGCGTCGCCCCCAAAGAGCGGCGCGGACGGCGACACGCCGCGCGGCGCGTCGCCGCGCCCGTACAGGTGCGGGCCGCCCAGTGACGCCACCTCCCGCACCACGGCGGCGGGGCAGCTGGCGAACGCCGCGCCGGCGTGTCTACGGCCGGGCTGCGTGGCGCCGGAGGCCGCGCCGCCGCCGGCCGCCCCCACCAACGGGGCGCGGGCGGCGCGCAGGGCAAAGTCCAGCAGGGCCCACTCGCCATCCAGCGTGGGCTGGAAGCCGACGGAGCGCACGGCGTCCGTGAGGCCCAGGAAAGTCGGGGGCAGCGTCTCGCACAGCTTGCACGGCCACTGGTCGTCCCGCCTGCCCGCGCCGTCCTGGTCCTCGTGGAACCAGCTGCCGCGGATGGACGACGCGGAGCCCTCGTCGAAGATCACGCTGTGCTGGTACACGGCGTCGAAGCTCACGGCGTAGTGCCGCAGCTGCAGCCGGTAGCAAAAGTCCATGTACACGCCCTCCTCGCTGAGCACCGGCCCCGCCGCGGCCACCAGCCGCCTGTCCCGCAGGGCCCTCGCGGGGCTCTCCAGCTGCGGCAGGCCTTCGGGCAGCGCGGCGCCGAGGACCACGAGCACCAGCGGCGTCTCGGCGGCCGCCAACATCTCGTTCAATACAACGCCCGACGGGCGGCCCCAGGCGCCCTCGACCCGCGTCCAGCCCTTGGGCGCCGACAGGAAATCGTCGGGCAAACCTGCGATGACTCGCGCGCCGGGAAACCGATCCATGATCGAGGAGGCCAGCAGCGCCGGGCATCTCGGGACGACCAGCGTGAGCGCCTCAAGGCTCAGTGCCGGGACGGGTTCGAACGACAGGGCGGGCGGCAGGTGGTCGAACAGCTGCAGGACGTCGAACGTCTTTACAGGCCATGGGCTGGCGTCCAACATGAAGTTCTCCTGCAGGGCCTGCCACAGGAGCACCTGCGCCCGAGGGGCCTTTTCGGCGAGGGCGTCCCGCTGGTACGCGAGGGCAATCGAGAGGATGAACACGATGCCGTTGGCGCATCCGAACTTGTGCTCGGCGGCGTGCTCGACGAGCAAGAGGGCGCCGTCCACAACTGCCGCCAGCCCTTGCGGGCTGCAGCGGGTCCGGAGCACGTCATCGTCCTCGGTCTCGAGGCGGCACTCGGTCTTCGACAGCCGCAGCACCTGCCCCCAGTCGAGGAGATCCTCCACGCCCCTGCACCAGGCGAGCACCTCGAGGATGTCGGAGGACTTCGAGCCCAGCTCATCCTTGATGGAGACTCCAAGGTACGGTCGGGCCCAGAACACAAGAACACCCTTCGAGAACACGAGGCCCTCCGCCGGCCAAAACACCCCAAACCGTAAGATTACTCGAGGGTGCCCTCCCCAAAGAGTGCAGAAGCACACCCGAGAAGCACGAAGAACATTGGGGCATAGCCTCCCTGAGTCCGACCGTGCCGCTGCCGCGCCCCACCCCCCTGGCCCTGGACCTCCCCCAGGGCGCGCTCCGACCAGGGCATCACAGGGCGGATCCAGCCGTGGCGGCGATGGCACCCTGGGAGGCTCCAGCGGGCGAGAGCTTCATCAATGTCGCAGCGCTGGCGGAGGCACGGCGCGCTCGGAGCCCGAGCGGGGACGCTGCACGGCGACTTGGTGCACCAGCGGCCGGGGCGGCTGCGGAGGAGGGAGGAGGTCGGCATGGTCGGCGCGCTCTGGTCACCTCGTAATACGCCCAAGTACGACAACGACAACTGCCACCTCGGCTTAAGCTTCGCAACAGGCAGCGAGCAGAAGGCCCCCGCATTCGTCGCGCCTTCCCATAGACCCCTCGCCCGCCCATCTGATGTGTGGACAAAGATCCTGAGAGGGGATCACATGCGGTTTCTCTTGCGTGTGGCGGTCTACAACCCACTGTCTCTCATTCAGAGCTCACGACTGGAGGAGATTGCGAGTGTCTTGGACGTGGACGCACTTCTTCTCAATAGCACACGAGTTAGGGAGTGGCCAGATAGACAATTTCACGTTCAGAATTTACCCAACAGACGGACCGCAGTTCATTTCGGATGGCGGCGCTCACCGTATGTGACAAACTGTGCGGGGACATGCATAGTGCTGGGACGACGATTACGACGGAACCACATTACCTCCATAACTCCAGCACCGCGAGGACTGGAGGGTAGAGCAGGAGACATTCGGATCAAGTCAGGTGGTTTCGACATCTTGGCGGTTACGGGCTACCCTCCCCCACTATACGAGACGGGCTCGGCAAAAAGAGCACAGCAGCGCAGCATCGAGATAACCATGCAGCACATCCATAACCGATTGGCAAGCGCACCAGCTCGATGCACACCCATTGCAGGCTTTGACATCAACTCGGGGTTCGGCCTGAGGATGACGGAGGAGACGAGACTCGACCCAGACGAGAAGCAGTTCGGCGCCTTTCATCTCAAGCGGAGCGGCATCGCACGCAACTTGATGTATAATACCATGGAGTCCCTCGACATGGCTTGCGTGAATACCTACTACCCGAGCGCAAGGCCGACGTACTATGGACCTAGACAGGACACCAGCACGATAGCCATTGGTCTCATTGCATCATCCCTCCTCGAAGAGATTAAGACGTGCACTGTGGCCTGGAAACGGGGACGTAAACTTCAACTCATCCCCGACGCACAATCCAGAGACCACCTCCCCTTGTTCTTCACGATAGACTACGAAATGCCGACGTTCGACCACCGCCAATTACGACCCAGATGGGACTATACCAAACTAGCCCGAGCACTACAACATGGCGAAGATAGACTCGAATTCCACCGAGAGCTCGACCAGCGTATGAAAGACATTACCAGCCAGCTCTCCAACTACGCCGACCTGTCGCACCCTGACTTCGACTACGACCTGTGGGCCCAGACCTTGTTGGACACCGCTCAAGCTCATTTTGGAGTTCAAGGAGCCAGGCACGAACACAACGAGATAACCCACTGGCGCCACGTACGCCTCGAGAAACTACGAGCTCGCCGACAACTACGCGACCAACTCGCCCACCTGTGGCAGGTCCATGGGGAAGTTCTGGACCAGCACGAAGTCTACCTGAACACCCTGAAGAGCGAGATCAACGAGGCCACGTACTACATTCGAAGAGCGGCACAGCAAGGTTATGCGACCTACCGCAAGTACCTGTATCAGGAGCTGGTGGAGGCCCGACAGTTGGGGCACGCGGCGGGCGTACATCGTATCGCACGGCTCCTCGCGGGCAAAGCTATGGGAGTGAAGAACCGCATATACTGCCATCCCCCTAGCTATAAGCCCTCCCTCGCGGAGCTTCGCGCCCATGTCGAACGCCAAGGCAGCGAGGGAGGCATGGGAGCACAACACGTTGACCTACGAGCCGAACTGGACCAATTTCTTTCTATTCAGGATGACGGCTTCCTGCGCATCCGCACTACGACTATGGAGATCACGGCTGATACTTTATTTCAAGAACTTCTACTTCGACTACGACGGGCAAAAAACGGCGCAGCACCACTAAGTGGAGTGTACCAGTGGAAGTGGCTCTGATGGCGCTCGACCCGACGTACCTGGCAAAGACGCTCACCACGCATGGTGGCCTGGGCTACTACACCACCACACCAGCTGAGCCTACGACCACGACCACATTCACTCTGACGCCGATGACGAACCCACCGACCACCATCCACTTCATCCCTGCCTCAACTACAACGACACCACCACAGCAGCCAGACGCCGACCACCACGAACAAGCGGAGGCGCTCACGACCATGGACAGACCCGACGTCGACCCATTCGACGACCTCGACGGAGAGGACCCCCCCACGCCCGACGAACACCCACCAACACCTGACACCAACCACCAACCAGCACCAGCCCTGCCGACTTTCGACCACAACCCTGACCAACACCCACACACGACACGAGCACAAGACGGAAAACACACCGTACTGGACGCAGCCGCACACTACACCAACGCCAAGTCCCACTTCATGGACATCCTCATCCATTGCCTTCGGGCCAACCAACTGCCGACCAAATCCAGCATCACTGAGGGCATCCTCCTCGACAAACGCAACCTGAAGAAGCAGATGTCCAGCCAGCGAATCATCCACCTCTCAGACACGATTTGGGAGAGCTTCTACGCTGTGCTACACGGTTGGGGGGACCGCAAGCTGGCCTGGACGAATACCATCCCCAGCCACTGGCATGGATTCCTAGCACACCGACGCCGCGAAGGAGCAATCCTAGTACAACGACGGACAGGCTGGTCGCTCCGACGCCAGAAACAGCACCACATCAACGAGCTGCATGACCTTACCAACGCGTTCCTATGCCCAAGGATTGGGGACCTCCTCCACATCAGCCAACAACTTGTACGCGAGGACCTCCATGCACTAAGACATCAACGACTGGTGAACAGTATTGTACTTATTCCAGTGGAGGACAATGAGGAGGCCTTCCTACTTCACGATGGTGGATTGCAGGGCTCAAGTGAAGCCCCTAAACAATTTGCAGGAGTTTATCATGAATGCATTACATATTGGAAAAGTATCACCCAGGACCCGATCATTATGTACGATGAGATAGAGGGACATCACCAGGACGTATCATTATCAGGGTTCGCTGACGACGTGCTGAAGAAACGACTGTGCCCATCGGGCACGGCTGAGGAGGCGATGGAGATGATTAATGCGGGGGATCAGATTTTCGACTCTGTACTCCACCATTGGCAGTTTGCACAGAATTAAAAAAAATAAAAAAAACATCGTCCCTTGCCTTGGATCTCATGTAGAGAATCGGAAGCTCCAGGAAATTTGCCCTTCCTCCCAGGGACTAGTCGTGTCAGATGCTCGCCACCTCGGAGATCGCTACACTATGACAGACAGCAACAAATTGGAGATATCGAATCGCGTGCATTCTATGACCGTGGGATGGTGCCAATTGGGAAAGTTCTGGAACGAGAGAGGGCTCTGGAGGCTCAAGCGGGAAATCTTCCTAGGGAAAGTGGTCGAACCTGGGCTCTCGGGCTTGGAGGCCTTCGTCCTGAAGAAAACAAAGGAGAAGAAGCCGGACTCCCGAACCGTAAAGTACCTTCGTGCCTTGACGCAGGGTCGCGCCAAGACGATCCACGAGGACTCGCACATGACTGCGATGAGTAACGTCGAGGTTCTCAAGCATTGGCAGATCCTTCCAGTGAGAGCAGAGTTAGCTGTCAGACGCATTAAATGGCTTCAGAGCATGTGCCGACACAAGCAAGCACATCGACAAACCCTGGTTGCCATTTTCGGACATATTCCGAACGAACCGTTTACCCTGGACGAACCAGGCCGAATCAGAGCTACGGCGAACCCATGGGCCCATCAATTTTCCAGCGACCTCGACCTCCTCAGGGACATCAGCGGCACGGAAAGTTTCTGGGAGATCTGGACGGGCACGAACAAGTCTTGGAAGGCCCTCCTCACCCCGAACTCAGAGTCCGAACAAGCCTTTCTTAGAATAGATCCAGGCATTCTACGAGCAACAGCACACGCCCCTGGGAGCCCCATATGGCCTCGCTTCTACGACACCCCCACGGACATGACCGATGCGAACCCGAAGATATTTAAGTGCGAACTTCTAGATCACGAAACTGGACGAGGTTGCGAAATGACATTCCCGAGCTATCGACAGTGAACTACTCATCAAGCCTCTCGACATAGACTTCGATTTGCTATACCGAGCAGCGTGATAACGAACCAATGCCCTAATTGCTACACGGTCCTGAAAAGCCGAGCGTGTGCCCAGAATCACCTCATCTTTGCCTCCGCCCAGGGCCGATGCCGTATGGGACGGAACACTATGAAATGGCCTTTGACAAACGCGAAGGACCCCACGTGCGCCCTCTGCTCCGCAGCCTTTTCAGATCTGGCCCCATTATACGAACACGGCAGAATCGAGCATCTTCCGAGACCAAGCCCACTCCTCGACCATGCCAGTGCCAATATTGATCGGCAACGGCGACTTCGAGACGCCCTTCGAGCACAACCAGGACGGGGACGACAAAAAAACAAGAAGGAGACGTACGAGGCGAAACCACAACTCACCACCCACACCAAGAAGATGCTGATCGTGAAACAACTACCCCGATGTGCCCAGCAGAACCCTGACAAGAGCAGCGTCGACTCCGACACCTGGACCTTCAGGAGCGACAGCCCGCCCATCCTCTACAGACAGGAGCAGACAGCCGAGTACGACAAGGCCACCAAGGAAAAAATCACGACCTTGGACCTCTACAGATCTACGTGATGGGAGGCCTATTTGCGGCGGTGAAGAAGCTCAAAATGGAGGACCCGCTCAAGACACAGGTCAAACAACTGTTCACTGACTACGACAACTACTACAACGAGCAGACGTCCGAGCTGGTACCCTCCTGCAAGGACGGCCGCATGTACGAGAAGGAGAAGAAGAAGCCCGTAGTCCACGGGCCACTGCTTGGGGGATACCTGGCGCTGAGGACGACAGCAGCCAAGCAGAAGTACGGCAGGGCCCCAGCGACGACGCACAAGGAGCTATTGATGTAATTATCGAAGACACGAGAATGGGTGGGACACCACATGGCGGGAGCACTGAGAAAAAAGGCTCGGGCAGGGAGGAGGCTGCAGTAGTGAGTGAGAGCGAGGCGACCTCAGCTGAGACCAGGAGCTGGCTTAGCCCGTCCCCAGTCTCGGACCTTCGAGTGTGCACGATGTTTTTGGCCACTAAAAATGTTTTCCCTGGCAGTCGTAGTTTTGACAGTTTAGTCTCGAGCAAGCACGTTTTGCAGCAAGCTAGAGTTTGGCATCGATCGCAAACTTGATCGTCCCGTTTTCTGGTGTGATCCCCTCGATCTCTCCACACGTCAGAGGTCGTGGGTCTCAGGCTGGGGCTCTGTCGGGCCCGTCGGCTGAGAGACCACCACATAGGGTGGGGGTTTTCTAGGCCCGCCATAAAGCTGGGACATCGCTCCGTTTGAAAGAGAGTTGCGAGCTGCGTTTCGTGCACTAGCTTGTGATGCTTGAACCTCGGGGCTAATGATGTGAATGAATGAGTGAATGAGTACGACAACGACGCAGTGGTTGCCGTTGCCGTCGCCGTCGCCGTCGCCGTCGCCGTCCTCGCCGCCGCCGCCGCCGTCGTCGTCGTTGTCGTCGTCGTCGTCGCCGTCGCCGCCGCCGTCATCGTCGTCGTTGTCGTCGTCGTCATCATCGTCGTCGTCGTCATCGTCGTCGTCGGCGTCGTCAGTCCGCGTCGGCGTCGTCGTCGTCGTCGTCGTCGTCATCGTCGTCGTCGTCGTCGTCGTCGTCGTCGTCGTTGTCGGCGTCGTCAGTCTGCGTCGGCGTCGTCCGTCGGCGTCGTCCGTCGTCGTCGTCGTCCTCGTCGCCGCCGCCGCCGTCGTCGTCGTCGTCGTCGTCGTCGTCGTCGTCGTCGTCGTCGTCGTCGTCGTCGTCGTCGCCGTCGTCGTCGTCGTCGTCGTCGTCAGTCCCGGGCCCAGCACGGCTGGTCTTTCGAGCCGCGCCCGGCCCGGGGCGGCGGGAGCCCTGCGGAACAGAGCGGGAGCCCCCGAGACGAAGCCGTCGCCGCTGGCGCCGTCGTCGGCAGCGCTGCGATGTGCCCCTCTCCTGCGCGCCGCCCTGACAGGCAGGGGCTGCTGGATGGATGCAGGAACTTGGCATCGCTCGGACGTGTGCATTTTTCCTTCGGCGAGGACCATCGAAGAGCATCCTTGATCATGTGGCGAAAAAACCACGCACGAAACCAAAAAAACACACACAGGGAATGGACGTCCGAGCGATGGCCAGGAAGCGGGCGCTCTCCTCCGTTGCTTCTGCGCCACCCGGCGAGGCAGAGTGGGTGTCTCGCCAGCTCCCTCTGCGCACTGCCGAAGCAGCCGTTGGGTTCGGGCGAGGGGGTGGGGCTAGGAACGGGGGGGGTAGCGAATCAGCTCACGCAGTCGGTGTTCCCAGCTCCCCGCGCTGGAGGCGCCACTTGTGCCGGGGGATCCGCTCGGCGGCGAGGCCGAGCCAGCTGCATGCAGAAACCTGCGCACCCCTCGGGGCCACCGAAGGAGGAGGAGGATGAGAAGGAGGAGGAGGAGGAGGAGGAGGAGGAGGAGAAGGAGGAGGAGGGAGGAGGAGGAGGAGGAAGGAGGAAGGAGGGAGGAGGGAGGAGGGAGGAGGGAGGAGGGAGGAGGGAGGAGGGAGGAGGAGGGAGGAGGAGGGAGGAGGGAGGAGGGAGGAGGGAGGAGGGAGGAGGAGGGAGGAGGGGGACGTAGAAAGGTGGGGCAGGGGCGGAGGTGGGATTGGGAGGACAACCACCTGCAACAACGGCCCGTGTGAGGAGGAGATGCGCGTATCCAGCTGAGTGGCTTCGCTCCCTAACCTCACCTTGGAAGAAGCCCCCCTCTGCGAACCCCCCACCCGACCCTCCCCCCCCCCATTCCGCGCGCCCCGGTTGTGATCCTCGACGCCCGGCTGTCGGGTCATGATTCGGGTCTCCCGCGTCGGTTCGGGACGATCCGGATACCCCTCAGGACGCTCCCGGAGAGGCGCAGCCGCGGCTGGGAAACAGGGGGAAAGCAACGACAACTCCCGACACCTCTGCATGAAGCAGTCGGGTCCTGAGGGAAACGGGGTCCTGAACCCAGGGCCCCCCCGGGGGGCCCCCCAAGACCAGCTTCTCGTCCTGAGACGCTATCAGCTGGTCCCGGGTCCTGTTGAGGGCTTCGTGAGGCCGAAAACGGAAGAAAACCTTAGGACTCGTTTCCCTCACGACCGGCTTGCTTCCACGACACGATCGCCCCCACTTGGGAGGCCGATCCCCCGGCTGGGCGAAGTCCCACATGCAGCTTGGGCAACTCAAAGGGCGCGAACGGGGTCGTCGTCGACGTCGTCTGCGTCGACGACATCGACGTCGTGGTCGTCGTCGCCGTCGTCGTCGACGGCGCCGTCGCCGCCGTCGCCGTCGTTGCCGTCGCCGTTATCGCCGTCGTCGACACCGTCGTCGTCGCCGTCGTGGACTTCGCAAGCGGCGTCGTCGTCGTCGTCGTCGTCGTCGTCGTCGTCGGTGTCGGTGTCGTCGCCATCGTCGTCGTCGTCATTGTCGTCGTCGCCGTCGCCACCGCCATCGCCGTCTTCGTCGCCGCCGCCGTCGCTACCCTCGTCGTCGCCGTCGCCGTCGGCATCTGCGTCGCCATCATCATCATCATCATCATCATCATCATCATCATCATCATCATCATCATCATCATCATCATCATCATCATCATCAGCATCATCATCATCATCACTACCATCACCTTCCTCGTCCTCATCCTCATCATCATCATCATCATCATCAGCAGCATCAGCATCATCAGCATCATCATTACCATTGCTATCATCATCGTCATCATGAGCAGCATCAGCATCAGCATCAGCATCATCATCACCATCCTCGCCCTCATCCTCCTCATCCTCCTCATCGTCCTCCTCCTCATCATCATCATCATCCTCATCATCATCATCCTCCTCATCATCCTCATCAGCATCCTCATCATTATCCTCATCCTCATCCTCCTCCTCCTCCTCCTCCTCCTCCTCCTCATCATCATCATCATCATCATCCTCCTCCTCCTCCTCCTCCTCCTCCTCCTCCTCCTCATCATCATCATCATCATCATCATCATCATCATCATCATCATCATCATCCTCATCCTCATCCTCATCCTCATCCTCATCCTCATCCTCATCATCATCATCATCACCATCATCGCCGCCGTCGGCGCCGTCGCCGTCGTCGTCGGTGGTGTCGTGATCGGCAGGGAACCCTCCGCTGGGGCGTCCGACCCCCCGATCCTCCTCAGCGGCCGCCGGCAGCGCCGCGGCGGCCAGCACCGCGACCAAGGCCGCCGAGGCCGCGCGCGCGCGCGAGGGCGCCGCCCGCCGCGGCCGCATCTGTCTCGGCGACTCCGAAGGTCGTGGCTTGCAGAGGGCTTGCCATCGCTTCGACGTCCATTCTCCGTGCATGTTTCGGTTTGGTGCGTGTGTTTTTGCTCCATGGTCCAGGATGCTCCTCGATTGTCCTCGCCGAGAAAAACAAAGCACACGTCCGAGCGATGCCAAGAGGGTGGTGGGTTTGCAACCCGCGCCGGGACGGGGGGGGCGGGGGCTCAGTCGTTTTTGAAAGTGTCGAACGATTCATGCTGCGGTCGGCCAACACATGTTAAAAAACGGCAACCCAAAACATAACAAGAAAGACACCGACCGGGCCCAAAACGAGGGGAAAACGGCAACCCAACACATACAACAACAACAAACGGCAGCCCCAAACAGAACACACTGTTTGCAGAAACGGGTAACAGAAAAAACAACTGCAGCCAAGAACCATCCGAAAACGGAGCGCACCACGAACCGAACACGGCGAGACGGCAATCCCAAAGCGGAGAAAAAGACTGCTCCCCAAACAAAACAATAATACAAACAAAAACGTTCGATCTTGACAACGGGGATCAAAACACCCCCCCAGTGGTTTTTTTTTGAATCATCTGAGGGCGGGGGGCGGCGGGCGAAGACCTCGACAGAGTGCCCCGCCGCGCCCCCTGGGGAGGCCCGACGTGCCCCCGAGCCGCAGCGACGCAGGTCACAAGCCGCACCCCGGCGCAACCGCGCCCCCGGCGGTCGCCGACTGCTTCCCTCGAGGGCCGCGAGGGGGCCTTGAGCAGGGACCGAGCGTCCCGGCACTCCCATAGTCCTAGGACGACATGTTCGGAGAACCCCAAAATCGTTCCAAGAACAAAACCAACGTTCCGAGAACAGCACCCCGAGGGGATAAACCAAGACAGTCCCAGCCAGAAATGCCCTGAGAACGGCTCGTGGGAACCACAAAAGGTTCTTAGGACACTGTTTCGTAGGGCTATAGGCGAGCCGCGACGCTTCGCCACTGCCTGACTGAAGGGGGCCCGCCGCCCCCCCCGCGCGCGCGGCCGCGCGAGGCCTGAGCCGGCACGGCCACGGAGGAGAAAGGGGCCCTATAGGGCTGGGACACACAAGTGAACACACACAACTAAACATGTTCCCCATATGTTCGCATATCTTTTCTGGGCTTTTTGTCTCCTCCCCAATTCCCATAGATTCCAATATTTTCTGGGGAATCGACGATTCATTGTGTCTGTGTAATTTTTCCCCTCCTGAGAGGACCCCGACGCCTCCCGGGGCGTGTGCCGCTCCGCCGACGGACGCTTCCCCGCCTGCGGCCCTACGGGGGACCCCCGTGAAAAAACGAGAACGCCCCAAGGATCCGTTCCCGTTCCCGTTCCCGTTCCCGTTCCCGCTCCCGTTCCCGTTGTTGTCGTCGTCGTCGTCGTCGTCGTCGTCGTCGTCGTCGTCGTCCCGTCGTGGTCGTCATGGTCGTGGTCTCCGTCCACCCTGAAGGGGGGTCAAGAGGGAGGCTCCAGAAAGGCTGCGGACGCTTGGAGGCTTGTTGGGCTCTCCTGAGAGGCCTCCCGGGGGCCTCTTGGAAGCATGTTGCAGGTCTCTTGGGGCCCGTAGGGGTCTTCTTGGGGACGTCAGGGCGGAGGACTTGGGGGTCTCCTGGGAGTTCGTTGGCGGTCTCGGAAGGTCTCTGTCAGACGCCTACGGCGAATCACCGCCGCCCCTTGCCTTTTGGAAACGCCGACGCGGCCAAGCGTTACGGCGAAGTTTGGCCCAGGTGTTGGACCAGGTGTTCCCCCAGCCGTTGTTGAAACCCTTGGGGAAAACACTTGGGTGAGGAAGATGGGGGAGGAGCAGGATAGAGGGGGATGATGGTGATGATAACGAAGAGGCACATGAGATGATAAGGAGGGGGGGAGGAGGCCTCTTGGAGGCATTTTGGGGCTTCCTGCGGGCTTTTGGAAGCCTTTTGGGGTCATCTGGACTCCTTTTCGGGCAATCTTGGCCGTCTTGGAGGGCATCTTCGGTCGCCTCGGGGGCCATGCAGGGCCGTCCTGGCAGTCTTCGACGGCATGCGGGCCGTCCTGGAGGCCACACTGGACCATCTTAGCACGCTTGAATGCAATCTCTTACGTGTCTTAGGCCATCTTGGAGGCAATCTCATCCGTCCAGGAGGCCACCTTGGCCGTCGTGGAGGCCATCCCCAGCGTAGCCCACCCAGCCATGGTTCGGTTAACGCACTCGTACATATCCAGCTGCCTGCGGCAATTCCCGCCACCGTGGTGATGATGATGATGATGGTGATGATGATGCTGACGCTGACGCTGATGATGATGATGATGCTGATGCTGATGCTGATGATGACGATGATGAAGATGATGATGCTGATGACGACGATGATTATGATGACGACGATGATGATGACGATGATGATGATGATGACGATAGCGATGGCGATAACGATGACGAGGATGATGATGTTGATGATGTTGATGAGTAGTAGTAGTAGTAGTAGTAGTAGTAGTAGTAGTAGTAGTAGTAGTAGTAGTAGTAGTAGTAGTAGTAGTAGTAGTAGTAGTAGTAGTAGTAGTAGTAGTAGTAGTAGTAGTAGTAGTAGTAGTAGTAGTAGTAGTAGTAGTAGTAGTAGTAGTAGTAGTAGTAGTAGTAGTAGTAGTAGTAGTAGTAGTAGTAGTAGTAGTAGTAGTAGTAGTAGTAGTAGTAGTAGTAGTAGTAGTAGTAGTAGTAGTAGTAGTAGTTATAGTAGTAGTAGTAGTAGTAGTAGTAGTAGTAGTAGTAGTAGTAGTAGTAGTAGTAGTAGTAGTAGTAGTAGTAGTAGTAGTAGTAGTAGTAGTAGTAGTCACTAGCGTAGCAGCAGCCAAAGTAGCAGTATGCAGTAGCAGTAGTGTAGTAGTATAGTAGTAGTAGTATAGGAGTAGTAGTAAGTAGTAAGTAGTCGTAGTAGGGTACGTAGTCAGTGGTAGTCGTAGTAGTAGTAACATATACTACTAGTATAGTATAATGATAGTACGGTGACGTAGCAGTAGTAGTAGTAGTCAGTAGTAGTAGTAGTAGTAGTAGTATAGTAAAGTAGTAGTAGTACTCGTAGTAGTAGTAGTAGTATAGTCGTAGTATCAGTAGCTGTAGTAGTAGTAGTAGTAGTAGTAGTAGTAGTAGTAGTAGTAGTAGTAGTAGTAGTATTAGTAGTAGTAGTAGTAGTAGTAGTAGTAGTAGTAGTAGTAGTAGTAGTAGTAGTAGTAGCAGTAGTAGTAGTAGTAGTAGTAGTAGTAGGTAGTAAGTAGTACGTAGTAAGTAGTAGTAGTAGTAGTAGTAGTAGTAGCAGTAGTAGTAGAAGTAGTAGTAGTAGGAGTAGTAGTAATAGTAGTAGTAGTAGTAGTAGTAAGTAAGTAGTAGTAGTACAATAAGTAAGTTTAGTAGCAGTACAGAGCAGTAGTTAGTAGTAGTACTTGTATAGTTAGTCAGTAGTAGTAGTAGTAGTAGTAGTATAGTAGTGGTAGTTCGTACGAGTAGCAATATAATCGACCCAAACATATTCACTATCGTTCTCATCGTAGTAGCAGTCGTAGTAGTAGTAGTATGGTATTAGTAAGGGTATTAGTAAGCAGTAGTAGTAGGGAAGTGTAGTAGCAAGCAGCAGAAGTAGTAGTAGTAGTCATAGTAGGGTTTGTTGTAGTAGTAGTAGTAGTGTAGTAGTAGTAGTAGTAGTAGTAAGTAGTAAGTAGTAGTGTAGTAGTAGTAGTAGTAGTAGTAGTAGTAGTAGTAGGAGGAGTAGTAGTAGTAGTAGTAGTAGTAGTAGTAGTAGTAGTCGTATAGTAGTCTTAGTCGTAGTAGTTGTGGTTGTAGTAGTAGTAGTAGTAGTAGTAGTAGTAGTAGTAGTAGTAGTAGTAGTAGTAGTAGTAGTAGTAGTGGTAACAGTAGTAATAACAGTAGTAGTAGTAGTAGTAGTAGTCTTAGTTATAGTAGTAGGAGTAGTAGTCGTAGTAGTCCGTAGTAGTAGCAATAGTAGTAGTATAGTAGTAGTCAGTATGAGATAGTCGTCATTAGTGGTGGTATAGTAGTAGTAGTAGTAGTAGGACTAGTAGTCGTAGTAGTAGTATATAGTAGTAGTAGTAGTAGTAGTAGTATCTAGTAGTAGTAGTAGTAGTAGTAGTCGTAAGTCGTAGTAATAGTCTAGTATTCAGTACTACTACTACTACTATAAAACTAGTAGTACTATTAGATAACCTAGTACTAGTAGTAGTAGTAGTTAGTAGTAGTAGTAGTAAGTAGTAGTAGTAGTATTAGTAGTAGTACCTAGTAGGTCGTAGTAGTAGATATATAGTAGTAGTATTAGTATTATAATATTAGTAGTATTATATAGTCGTAGTAAGTAGTATTAGTAGGATTAGTAGTTACAGTAGCAGTAACAGTATAGTAGTAGTAGTAGTAGCAGTAGTAATAGTATAGTCGTAGTAGGATGTAAAGTAGTAGTAGTAGTAGTAGTAGTATCAGTAGCAGTAGCAGTAGCATAGCAGTAGCAGTAGTAGTATAGTAGTAGTAGTGTAGTAGTAAAAAATATTTTTTTTAGTGAGTCGGTCGTAGTCGTAGTAGTAGTCGTCGTCGTCGTAGTAGTAGTAGTAGTAGTAGTAGTAGTAGTAGTAGTAGTAGTAGTAGTAGTAGTAGTAGCGTAGTAGTAGTAGTAGTAGTAGTAGTAGTAGTAGTAGTAGTAGTAGTAGTAGTAGTAGTAGTAGTAGTAGTAGTAGTAGTAGTAGTAGTAGTAGTAGTAGTAGTAGTAGTAGTAGTAGTAGTAGTAGTAGTAGTAGTAGTAGTAGTAGTAGTAGTAGTAGTAGTAGTAGTAGTAGTAGTAGTAGTAGTAGTAGTAGTAGTAGTAGTAGTAGTAGTAGTAGTAGTAGTAGTAGTAGTAGTAGTAGTAGTAGTAGTAGTAGTAGTAGTAGTAGTAGTAGTAGTAGTAGTAGTTATAGCAGTAGGCCTCTGGGAGGCCTCTGGGAGGCCTCTTGGGTCGTTTG